CAGGATTTTCTTTGGAACTAGTTTGTTGGTAATTTTCAGCAGTTTGAAAAACTTTAGTAATTCCTTCAGAAGTTGACGAACTTGAACCTTGATAAGGTATCATATAGACTTGAGGTAAGGTTCGAAAGTAAGAATCATTTGAATCCGCTCCTCGAAGATTCATACTAATAATACGCACTGCTAAAGATTTTGAACTATAAAAATAACCCAAAATTAATAAATATATATACGCTTTCAAATTTCATATTTAAGATTTTATATTACTCACCTTCCTGGTGCACCAATTATGAAAACTGGTGTTCGTGTTTGTATACAAACAATCATTACAAGAAGATTTTCTAAAAGAGCTTCATTTGCTGCAGTTCCTTCGGGACGTCGCATACGTTTAAAATAATTTTCTTGTTCTTGTGAAATGATATATTCAAAAAAATCTTTGGATTGTTGGTTTTTGTATCGAGGTACATCAATTTTTTGATACTTTTCCATGATTCCAATCATTTCTTTTCGATATTCTTTACGTTCAGATTGGTCATGAAGCCTAAAAAGGTAACATAAACCAAGGGCCAACACCAATGAACGAGTTTCAGGAGATATAATTTTGCTATAATTTTGTGCGTAATTAATTTTACTAAATTCATTCTGAAAAAACTTAAAAAGCTTGATAGCACGTTTCACATCTCTTAAACTAACGCTAAATGGCTCCTCAACTTTACGAATAAATGCTTGTGACGCGCATAATAACTCGGCAAAAAATGGATGGTTTATCTGAGTTTTCACCATAATCACAACATAATTTTGCTCATCATCTGCTTTGAGATGGCCATAGTCCCAAACGTAGTCTAATATTTGATCAGGCATCGAATGTACTTGGTAAACCAAATTTCCTTTTTCTTCGTATAGTTTTGCTGATAAACCTACATTACTTTGTGCCTTAGTTCTTAATCGGTAAGGATTGCAGGCGGCAAATAACCTAATATTAGGATGTATTTTCTTTCCATTAAGAAGTCTGTGTGAAATTAAACTTCCAAGCATTCCAATGTGGTCGCAAGTATTTATTTCATCAAAGAAAATCCATGTTTCACCTTCTAGCGCGAGTTCTGTGGCCTTTACCATAAATTCTAGAATATCTTTCTCATGAACTCCTGCATGGAGATTTAATGCTTTAAAATTAACTTCCATGATCATTGACAAGAAGCTGATTAAACTAGTCTGATTTAGATTAAGTAGAAATAAAATTAAAATCAGTTTCGCATATTTTATAACTAAAGATTTTATGATAATATATAATTCGAACCTTGCCACAGCCAGCCTCTCCACAACAGACTACCGGAATATTTGCACGAGATCTTAATAAAATCATTGCCATTTTTAAGAGATTCTCTATCGTTAATGCGTATTCAGGTAAGTCTTTTAGCTTGTGCATTTTTCTCCTTGCAAGTCGTTCCAGTTGTTCCAACAACATTTCTGGTTTCATTTTATAATATTCTTGCAATTCAGCATCTTGACTTTTTAATAAATTTTTAACATTACCAGGTACTTTACTTTTTTCACGATAAAGGGCACATATAGAATCTGGCATCTGTGACAAAAACACAACAACAAGATGATTAGAATCATCCCATTGAACTATATTCCCAAGTCGTGCAGTATCAACTTCTTGATTATTTTCTTTTTTAATGTTTTCTTTTTGCATATCCTTAGCCTTGATTGCTCGTGTAGCAAATTCTTTAGAGCAAGAAACCAATATTTCAAAAAGTGATGAACGAATATTTTTTTCTTGAGTCATTACATGTAATTGTTCAACTTGAAAGAAAGAACTAGCAGATAATCGAACTAATTGATCGGCTAATACGTTAATAAAAATTTCCAAGAATCGATAAGAAAAGACATTGTCCAATTGGTCACTGAAAAAGTAATGTTCTAATAATTTTCGACAACGTTCAGCAGGTAATGGTTCTTTGACTGCCTCGCTCCCTATAAAACGAATGTTTGTGTCATCAAGGCCGCCACGAGAATGAACATCCATATAATATGAAACAATTTGAATTGGACTGTTTAAATGACGAGATACTATGAAATTTTCCAAATTCCACTCGATGTGTTGTCTACGTATATATTTAATTAAAGAAAGCGAATCAAATAAATATTGCTCAATTGTTGACGCAATTTCAATAAATATTAAAGCTTGAGACAAATGGACTATATCTAATTCATTGGAAACTACGCCAAGTGTTAATAATTCAAACAGAAAGAAATTAATTTCATGAGGATAAGTTACAAGAGTAATATCGAGGTGTAAACTTTCAAAAGCACTCAATTTACAATTAGCCAATTGCCGAACTAGTGTCCCAAAATTTACATTATCACTGATTAATAAAGTTCGTGGAGCTTTTCTGAAACTAAAGCTTGATTTTTTAATCCATTCTGTTTTGCCCTGCCCAGACATATTTGAAGTCACGCACATAGCATCACTACAAATTTTAGAATATAAAATTTTCATAGACTCTAAATTAAGACCATTAGTAGGATGAATATTTTCAGAAAATTGATCTAATATGTGATGATTCGTGGCCTTTTCTCGTGTACAAACCAAAGCTAAAAGATAATTCGTTTCTTCTTTTTGAAAAATGCGGATTGTTTTAACTAGATTATATTGTAGTTCGAAATCTAAGAATTCGACATTTGCAATGCAAAATAAATAGTCTTTGTAACCATTTTTCGCAGCAATAAATGAACGTTTTATAAAAAGCGAAACCTCCTCCGCAGTAGTCGTACTTCGACAAATTAGAATTTGCCATGGTTCAGGAAAAGACCGATGATTGGTAAAAAGTGATAAAATTACATTTGGAACCAAAGAGCGAGAGTGACAATCTGCGACGAATATTTTTCCTTTAAAAACTGTATCAGCAATAATCGGTTCAACATCATCAGGAATGGGTCGATTTCGTGGTGGAATATCGGTAAAAATTTTATGGAGTGTAGCACCAATTTTGCGAAGAGTCGGTAAAAAATCAGCCTCACTTTGAACAGTTGGCCATTCTCCAATCCAATTGGGTAATAGAGGTAATTTAGCTTTATCATTAACGAACTTAACAAGATTTTGACAAATTTCTTGATTCGATGCATGGAAATTATTATTTTCATCAATATTCGCATGATCAATACTTCTAAAATAATCATAAAAGGCTAGAATATGACGTGCAGAAAAGAAGGTTAAATAGTAATGATCGTTTTGTGCTTTATCAACTATTTTTTCCCATTTTTCCATGTCATTAGTTAATTTGTCCAACAATTGTTGCAAGTTAAGGGTTCCATGAGCTTCTTCATGCATCTTTTGATAAAGAAAATGTCCATATTGAATCAATCTTGAAGCTACTGTGATAATTTGATGTGCTAAATCAACTTGCATAATAAATTGATTCATTAGCACGCTGATATCTTCATTACCATCATCATCAATTGAATGCTCAGTGGAGGCTCTAGATTTTCCAATCAAGAGTGCACGACCACAAAGATCGTGTAATTCCGCTATATTATAAGATGCTACAACTCGAGGTGCATCATCATGTTGATTTTGTGTCGTATCATATTTTAATGTAAGTTCACACGAATTCGATAGTTCATTATGCTCAAATATATAAAGACCAATTGTTGCAGCATTTTTAATTCGTTCTTTGGTAACTTCACCTCGTTTCGCTATATTACGATGCATATTCTGTAAAGCCAAATTATGCGATCCGCAAGACCTTATTTTTTCAGCGAGTGAAGGGCTTTTTTGTGATACTTCAGACAAGCATTTTAAAAATGAAGTAGTCGATAATCTTGCGGCATCTTTATTTAACGGATTCAATGCTTTGTTGACTTCTATTAATGCGGCTACAGTGTTCTCTTGTAATAGTTTTGTGTCCGATTGATCGTCAACAGCTGATCAGATAATTATAAATTAGCAAATGTGAAAATAATTATAGATTCTTTCTTTGTACCTGACAATTACGTAAAAACTAGAATACGAGATTTTGAAATAATTATCATTATCACAATAACAAGCTAATCTTAGTATAGAGCTTGGATTATTTATCCATTTTTACATTAAATTTAACGGATATCTGACGGATTATACTATTAAATTCATTATTCAATGAATAACAGATCCAAGCTTTATTTTAATATTATTTTTAATATTAATGCTAATAATCAAGAAAATTATCGTGATAATATAATTATTAAGAACTTTCAATAATTGCAAAACTTCGGGATTTTAAATGTAGTCTGAATTCATGCATAAATAGAATTGAGTATTTACCGTTAATAAGATTTGTTAGATCACTTCCAATTAAATTTTCAAGCAAATACTTAATAAATTCATCCGCAAAATTAAGTTCTTTAACTACAGACCAAGTGCACTCATTGAGTTCATTTAAATGCCTATTAAGCTTTTGAAAAATATTGGGCAGCATATTTAATCTCATGTCATCATTTTCTAAATCTTTCAATATTTCAACTACCCAACTTCTATCTGCGTCCCTTACTTTAAATCGGGCAATAACTTGCTTAAGATATCCAAGTTGCATGATGTAAGGTGGAATAAGAGCCAAATATTCTATAGAAACAACCAGATCATTCTGCCTTTGATGTCGTTGATACAATGAAGTGCCACCAGCCATTATTTCAAGTTCATGTCCAACTTGTTCTTTAGTAATATCTTTCCAAAAGATCCGTGCTTTAGAACAGTTAATATTCTGCCAATTTTTATAACTATCACAAGTTTTTTGATATTGTTCAATCACGGTTTCCGTAAAAATTTTGGCAACATTCAACACACTTGATACTAAATCTTCATCTTTCGCGTTATTTTTAACCATGTTTGCAAAAGTTTGGGAATCTTTAAATTGATCAACCTTTTGGCTGATATTAATAATCACTTTATGTGGCAACCAATAATCTTCAGAAGTAAAATCATCAAGCGATACATCCTTTAATAATTCCATCTTATTGGTAAGATCGTTCAAGTAATAACGAAAATCATCAGTATTATTGCACCATTTATAGTAGAAAGAAAATAGATGTTTGGCAATTTCTGAATGTTCTTGCGATTTTTCCCTAAGAAAATCTAACATTCCGCCAGTAATCTCATCATCATACCCAACACCTGAATTAATATAGCCGATCAATTCGCCATTCGTTAACTCAGTTAACGATTCAAGTAACCCCATTTTAATTGATTTACTTTTGATTGCATCAACGAGTTGAATAATCCGAGAACGAACATATTTCATTTGTGGATGTTCTTGAAGTTCATTCACTTCGCCAGTAGCATTTAATAAAAATGACCAAAATTCAGAAGCTTTGAGTAATGATAATTGCTGTTCATCATCACTAACATTAAGTTCTCCAGATTTCATTGCCTTGTTATTAACTACATCCAATATATGACAGATCGCACTTTCACATAACCTACAGAAATTTTATTTAAAATAATGAAATTTATTCATTATACGTAGGTACAGTTTCACCTGAAATAAGTAAATAAGTAATTCAACTTACCGGTTAGGAACCTTCAAGGGTTGGACTGATGAATCACATATTTGAACAATAGTTTTAATTAGCATATCGTCAGTAGTGCTGATATGCGAGTTTAGTTTTTCTTTAAAAATTTTGATGAAATCATCAAGAATATAATATTCAAGGTTGAAATTGCCAACAATTGATATTGATTGAAGTAACCATTGGTTTGATATATTGGTGATTCTCATTTCAATGATCTTTGCTAATTGTTGTTTATAAATATCGGATCGTTTTTTGAAAACAAATGAAATAGCCAAAAGTTGTTCATACATGAAGATTATAATGTTATTTTTTCCCTGTTGGGTGGTGGATGTTATGGTTTTGTACCATGTTACACAAAGAAGCGAAATTTTTCTTTGTAAATTTTCTCTAGAAATTAAAATGAATTTTAACCATTTTGGAAATGCCTGTAGCAAGTCAATACTTTTCGACTTGGAAAGTAATTCTAACATATTCAAAATTTCTGACTCTTCAGTAAATAATTGGGGAAATAGCCTATATAATGAATCCAGGTATTTGGAATTCCATGTTGATCCATCGTCGCAAATAAGTTTAATAAATTTGTTACGAAAAGCGGGTGAACATACGTCACAAAGCTCTTTGGTAAGGGATTTAAAATGTTCTTCTAATTCGCATGGATTATCTGAATCAACATGTTTGCTAATATAATCATCACGCAAGAAATTACCGATCTCAAAATCTACGTTTTTCCCAATAAATTTGTTAATCAGAAAATCACATGATTCCATTCCGAAAAAAGAAATTGTGATAATAGTCTAGATAAATACGCAATTGATTTGTATTAAAAATTTATTACAACAGACAGACTAATAGGTAATACCTGATACAGTATTAAGAATACATACCTTTATAACCTTTCGGTAAATAAATGGATCATTGATTGTATCAACGTATGGTTTTACGTTCTTTTGCAATAAATTATGAAAATTCTGTATGTCATTTTTATTCTTATATTCATGTCTTTTAATTTGAGATAAGAAAGTATAGGTTGAATCAAGAATAGGAGCAACTGAAAACATTTTCATCCAGTCAAATGAATTGCGCTTTGATGAATTATGTCGGACTAAAGCTGAAGTTACAAAAGTAAATGGTCTTTTAGCGCTAGTAGGTAGAAAGTTTTCTGTTTGTACTTCTTGTAGCACTTGTAGTAATTTGTCAGAAGGAAAATTTTCTCGTAAATTTATGTGAGTATTGGTCTCTTGTTGAATAATCTCGATATGATAAGCCAACATAACGCAGGTTAAGATCTTCTGATAATTATTACTTGCATTTGAAAAATAATTGAGAATTGAATCTATACTAATTGCCCGAACGGTCAGTTCATTATGATATTTCAAAAGCATTTGAAATTCCATAACTTTTTCTTTGAAATCTTCTAAAAAAGTCACAGATTTGTATATTACAGTAACAAATTTAAAATCCTTATTAAGATCTGGGCTGTAAAGCTTTTTGGAATGGTTTGTTTTCCATACGTCGTATTGGTTTTCACTATGTAACAACAATACACGGTTATCTTTTGGCGAATCACCTTCCATTATAATTGTTTGATCGCCCCAGAAAAAGGTTGAGGCAGCGTTAGAAAATTTGTAAACCCAGCCTTGAGGTTTTTGTGGTTTGTAAATTGCATATTTGTACAGAGGCAGTTCACCACTTATATAAATTTTGACTGGATCTGAAACCCAATATGTAGACTCGAAATCAGTTTGATATAATTCAACAACTGGTCTTTTCCATTTTCCTAACTCGTTAATATTGCCAACCACTAAAGGACACACAGTTTCATCAAGGTTTTTTGGCAGATGAGCATGAAAGGTAACTAAAATCTCACGATTAGTAGTTAAATTCTCTTCATGTTCTTCAGGTGCATCGTGAAATTCGTTATCACTATTACCATCGTCATCATTGTAACTCATTATGATTTATTTATGCTACCTGTTAGTTCAGTAAATTTATATGCTTCGTTTGAATTTCGCTAACAGAAGAGACAAATTTTTTGCCTTAATATATTCATAGACCTTGTTATTAATGCTAAATTTGGGTGCTATTCAAGTGATTCGTTGAATCTAGACTTGGATAATCATATAATACCTTTCCTCATGATTTTGTAATGCATGAACCGTTGAAAGTGCGTGAAAATGTATTAGTAGGGCTACTTTGTTTAACATTAAGGAAACACTTTTTCGGATTAAAAACTCCTTAACACTAACCTTAAAATATTTAATCAACAGAGTCAAATCAGGTTTCCAACATATATTAATGAATCATACGTTGTCTATTGTGAACATTTTTGGCGTTATTAATTGCCTACTTTGTTTTAACAATTGCTTTTAAGAATAGTTATAATAATTATTAAGATTGATAATCGATTGCTGGATAAAATAGTTTATTTACGGAAATTTGAAAGCATCATTGTTATAAACCAAAATCTATGATATGTTTTATACAGATACGTATGTAATTGTTAAGGCTTGGGCGCTTATCAAAATTCGCAAGCACAAAAAATTTAATACGTACCGGTACATTTATTCCATAGGGATAGATCCCGCTATGCATCTCATTGTGTCTAAATTTGGTTTGTGATGATCATTAATATTTAAAGTCAAATAAGATTCACGTTTTTAATCTTTGCCTCTTAAAAACATTAATAATGAAATGTGGGCAGTGTCAGACTATAAAGCTTTCGATAGAGTTTCCCGACGGTTCAGTTAGTTCAAAATGTGGGCACAACATGTCTTGGTGTTTGGAGGTACTATACGTTTCAATACTTTCCAATACAAATATGTGTTTATCATCTAAAAACAATCATTTTGTCAGTGTCTTGTGGGTTACCTAAGAGAAACGCAGCACAAGTGTCCTATCTGCGAAATTGAATTGACTGAACAAGAAGTTAATGATTGCTGTCTGTTTTGGGACAACGCAAGCTTCAAAATCGATATTGAAAGTCTTTCTCAAGCACGTGCTGAACTTTCAGGTTCTAACGATGTAAATTCAGGTGTTTTTTACGTTGTGTTGTTGAATGGAAAAAAGATCACGTTAAAATTATCCGAAATTACAACCGTTAAAGCTTTAAAATATGCATTAAGAGATGCTACTAAGATAGAAATTACAAAACAAAAATTAATTCATAATGACGTGGAACTTGAAGTACAATATCTATTTATTTTTATTTTATTTTATTAACTTTGACTTATTTTAACCATTATTTTATATATTTTCTATATAGGATTTTCAAGATGACTCAACTGATAGCACATTAGAAAAATATGGAATTCATGCTAATAGCCATATTCAACTTATTGTCGTTCTTTATTCTATCACACAAGATCAAGCTTTAACAAATTTGGCTTTCGATTTATATTGGGGATTTCCTCGTTCAGGACAAGATTTTCTTGATGGTACTTGTTTGATATATGCTGGTAATAATTTGTGGAAAAAATATGACTATTTATCCACGTTTTACCCCAGCATAAAATATATTAAGCATTCTGGTGACGTCATAAATCACGCACAAGGTTGGTTTCTATATAAATATTTTACTAAGTCATATTCATATAAGAATTTAATATACTCTGTAAATTATACATAGGTAGTGGACATCATCAAATAACAATCAAACTTGATGAACTTCCTAATGACGTTTGTCAGATTTATTTAATTCTAAGTTCATGGAGGTCTCCAACAATTGGTCATTTTCGAAACCCAAGTTTTAAATTGTATGATGAAGCGAATCAGGACAAGCAATTATGTAATTATACTATAGGACAAGCAGCAAAATCTCAGGCTGTTATAATGTGTCTTATTAATCGATCGAATAATGGTAAATTTTTATACTTGATATTGTTATTTCTATTTAGAGCTTTATTTCTTTAATACATTATTATTATTATTATTTGATAATAGGAATGTGGAAGGTGATCGAAATTGGTGAGACATCAAGTGGAAATGCTAAAAACTATGATCCAATTGAGAAAAATATCAAGCGGTTAATGTGCTTCAATAAAACTTTTATATAAATTATCTTTATTCAAATATTCAAATTCTTAAAACTATTGTATAATGGTTTTTTTGTCAAATAAAATGAATTAAAGCAATCAAGATTTCTAGCAAAATAGGTAGTGGCAATTTATCGCCACCGAGGGGTCTATAAACATGTAAAAATTATGTGACTTTGACATACCAGATAATATAATATGAAAATTTAAAGACAGGATATAAAATAAAGTATTATTTCATGTGACATCAAAAAAAGAAAATTTAAATCTCATCATATTGACAATCTTTCTGATAAATTAACTGTTTAACTATGCTAATTGTTGAATACAGCCAGAAATAAGGTAATTTTGGCTTATAACTAACAAAACTAACCCGTAACTATGAATAATATATTAGAAAGCGAATCTACAATGGTAATTCTATATTAAAAGGTTGGCCTCAAAGGGAATCTGCAATTGGACAGTTAAAAATTCATACATTTAATCTATGGTATTAAATTAGTTTTGCATACAGTATACAACAATGCTAATATTAAAGACGGACCGACCAAACCAATAAATATTATTACTATATAAAAATCGGTTCAAGGGGACCCGAAACCGACCGGGACTAGTAAGATACTAATACTAATACGTACTAATATTGTTGATCATTAATTCCGCATTTGGAATCGATTGTTTCCACATATGGCACTATTTCAAGTTTTTGCAGATTATCTGGATATTTATTCCGGTAAAATTTTGGGTGACAAAAATAAACAAGTTTGTTAAATTTTCTCACACTTTATCGTTAACGCTAATTAGCGTTAGTAAATCTGTGGGCAATGTAGTGTAATCATTAATTTTCTAAAATATTCACGTTATATTTAGCAGAGTTTGAACGCCTGTAGATCTCCCACAAAAACATTAATCAATGAATCTCCCTAGCGTGACCTAACACTAACCCTAACCTTAACATCCTAATTGGATAAAATCACAAGGGGAGAGTTTTTTGTATGAGAGCTACCACATTAAGGAGTTTGGCCACCTATTCCTGTATTCCATAGATCATCCATGGGTGAATAAGGTATGGCGTAACTAAAGATAAGCAATGCGCTTTGTATCGATGTGCGTGGAAGTTTTTGATTATGCGTAGAATTTGAATTATATCTTTTTCTTGTGATGTTAAAAGCTAATTGAAGTTAGCCTTGATTTTACATTACTAGATAGCTACGCAACGTCATCGCGCAAAACCAGGAACGGAAGATCTAAGCAGAGGACAGAATCAATGCATCTGATACTAAAAATTTGTGCATAATTATGATACATTCCAGCGCTAATAGCGCTGGATATTCAAACTTTATTAGAGAGTTACAGCATACATCATATATTAGTACGTTTGATGTATAATTGAAAGAGATATATGGCATATATCAGTGCGTTTGATATATATTTGGAATTAGCTAGTGGTTTTCTACCCGTATAAATGCAGGACGGCTGTTAGCCAGAAGCTTTGTAGTCACATGATCTTAGCTGATGGTTTCCTACCTGAATAACGCAGGCCAGCTGTAAAGAGATATTTAAGCTGCCACAAAAGCAGGATTAGGGTAGGGCAGGGTGCGAAATTGATTTGGCTGCTGCCATGCTGCTCTTCCGTTTTATATCTGTATGTTATATTAGTATTCACGCCATAAGCTCCTAAAGCAATTTCATTAAATTTATACTTATCTTCTCCTTTACATATGCCGGATTCTCTTGTTGAAGTCGGATCACCATGTGATCGTCGCTTGCTAATGCATCATTGCTTAGCAGTCTTTTCGATCTGTTGACCTACTGTCATCTTGAAAGAAGACAGCAGTCATGTGAGTTTTAGCCAATCATCACTGTAATATGAAACAGTATATATAGTAAATAAAATAAAATAAATAATCATCTAATAGCTCTTTATAGTTAGTGTTAGGATGAGAAAGTTTGTATTATAAAATCATTATAACTCTCTTTAAGTTATAATTTAGTATTTTGATTATGGAAGTTTGTAATTTATATTAAAATTTCATAAAAGATCTTTTTTTTTGCCGATATGCCTATCACTAATATATAGATTAGTCTTTTCAATAATATATCCAATTCACATAATTCACATGTGCAATATTAATTATTTGATATGCTACTTAAAATAATCTTTTATATTAATCTTTAACTCAATCATAGAAATAGAAACATGTGCTAATGCGGTATAATACGATATTTATTAATTAAAAAAATTTTGCTGTTTTATTGATTTTGCTTTTGGTGATAGACTTTCAATGTGAGAATTAAACGAATCTCTATAATTGTTAAATTGAAAAGAATGCAAACAATATAATGTTTTATTGTTTTGTCTGTTTTGTCTCGCTATTATATTCATGCATTTCAATCTGATACTTTTCAAATATGATGCAGAACAAATACTGTATAAAAGAACTGCGCCACAGACAGGCATGCTGAAGATAAAAATTTTAATATATAGATTTTTTATTTTTTATTATTTTTTTTTAAAAAACAAAGCATTTAAAAAATAGAAAAAAAAATTAAAATTACTGATAGGGTGGTCATATTACAAAAAGTGGTTAATGTATATAGTATGGTCATTCATATTAAATCCTATTTAATGCCCATAAGCATCAACAAATGACTAGTGTTGGTAGTAGAATTAATTTGACAAATTAATACAGTTACAGCATGTACCATATTATTTGCCATAATTACTTTGTGCTATAATGCTATAGTGCTGAAATGTCATAATGTCGTAATGTTGTAATGCCTTAATGATATTATACATATTAGAATACCATAATGAAGTTGTATCTAAATATTTTAATGCCTTTGCAGTAATATGTTAAAATACTGTAATGCTGCAATTAGTAATTAATAACACAGAATAACATTCCACTAGTGTTTTATTATTTAAAGTAATTTTCAGAATTAATATAAGCACAACAAATTTACTAGTTTTGTGATTAGGTAATCATTGATCATCAAAGTTTGTAGTAAAAGATTTTAATTTTTTTTTACTATTTGGTCAATGTTATTTCTTATAACTGGGAGTTTGTTTTCAGATTATTCTAAAATAAAAAGACTTGTTTTTGAATGTTCTAAAATTCCTAAATTGTTCTATATTTTTAATAATGCAAAAGCAATTAACAATTGACATAAATTCTCAAGCTGCAGATCTACAATATAGCAATTATATTCATGATTAAATTAGTAACAGTAAAGCGAGTTATGTTATATTTCTATTATGGTCATTAATTTAAGAAATTGGTGTGTTTAAATATTATCAAAAATCTAATAGTAATTTAATTTTAAATCATAACACTAACCCTAACTTAAGCTAAGTCCAAATTTGATCTTTATCTTCTAAAAAATATGTTAATTTTTAAAGACCCTAACAAAGATTTTCAAATACTGAATTTTCTTAAAATATACTAATCAACACATAACTAATTTTTTTTTAACCATTTCGGCAGTCTTGCCATATACTTTATTAGGCTATCATAATTTTTTATATTATACAATATAAATTTATATGACTTTTACAAAAGGCTAACTCTTTTGATACCTAAATTACAAGTACTGGCCCACCCGGTTATCTCTTGAACACTTATGCGTGACCTGCTATAAGCAAGATTTACCTCCAAAATACCCCTTCCTGAAACGAAAGAAATATGATATCACTGGATAGATCCTACTAGCCCATCAAGACTATCTTTCCTTCTTTCAAACTTCTTCTACCTAAGCCCGACAAAATAATTAAAACCCTTATTCATATATAAAAGTAGAAAAATAAAGCTATGTTTATGAAAGACCTAAACATTTTAGAAAAAAAATGCCTTACGGTAATAAAAAAAACACAAACAAGAAATCAAATTCTAAAATAATCTAATATAAATGAACAAAGATAAAAAAAGCAAAAAAAGAAAAGGTAACCTTGACACACTATTATAGCCTGTGCCAGGCATAGAAATAAAAATTATATACTAATTGCAACTAAAAGTATATCTCAATTATAAAACCTTCGATTTTATCGATTCAACTTATTCCGGGCACTAACTCAACTCGAATATCTTCTAAACAGGGGTATTGATCTCTTCTTTGTACCGTAGCAATGTATTGATCATCAAAACAAACACATGGTTGCAATTCACTGAGTCTATCCGAATTTGATAAGTATAAACAATGCCGATCTTTTGGAGGGGTAAGCCAAATCCCCACTTTTTTAGAAAATTTTAGAAGACCGATGAGGGGTGAGTGTACTCATGACTAATGATAGGGCTTTTTGACTTAGTGACAATAATAATTAATAATTATAATCAATTAGTTGAGTTATTAACTAGAACTACTTGATAATGTGCAATGAAGTATCATTTTCTATTTCAAAATTTATCAGACTTTAAGGTTTAATTTTATTATGATTTACATATACTGTAATATGTAGTTTTCTTATGTAATCACATAGGGATTATTAGCAATATCAAATTATTATTGGATAATAATTTTAGTAATTTTTTTATTATTAAAATAAAAGTCCAGTGTCTAAATTTATAAAAATTAAATGTATATAAAGATCACTGATTAAGTATATGTTATTATAATTATTATAATATTGTAGCATTATGGGATTGTATTATTATACTACAAAAATACTTAGTATTATGACATTACAGCATTATAGCATTATACCATTATAGCTAAGGATTGAAATTAGTTTAATCAACTAAAAAATTTTTATAGTAAGCTACTATATTTAGTCAACTAATTAGTTGAATAAATATAGCAGTTGACTAAACTAATTTCAATCTCTAATTATAGCATTATGGCATTACAGCACATAATATTTACAGTAATTAAGTTCTTTGCTGTAATTAATTCTACTATATAGTAGAATAGGCTAATGCTATAATTTAGTAATTCTACTGCCAATACTAAACTTAACTACATATTGTGTGTAGTAATTAGTGCTCTGAATGGGTCAGGCTAACTATTTTTGGGTTAAAACTTCA